TATGACTTCCAAAGACTGTTTCTCGTTCCTCATTTGCTATCGGATCCTTTGTAACCAACATGTACTTGATTTTGTCTTCGTTGATGACTAGACCGACCTGTTTCGCTGCTGTTTCCAATTCTAGGAGATATTGCTCAACATCTCGCTTGCTACGCCCTACTATGTCAATGTCATCAGCATATGCTAAGACTTGTATCGATCTATTGTAAATAGTACCGCCATCTCTAATTCGTATATCTAGCACTGCCTTTTTTAAGGCAATATGAAATAGGAGGCAAGCCAGAGCATCTCCTTGTCTGAGTCCATCCTTTATCTCAAAGGATCTAGACCTCTCTCCCTGTATTCTAACAGTGGCTTTTAAGTTAGACATTGTCATTCTCGTTAGTCGGATAAGTTTCTCTGGTATACCAAACTCATGCATTGATTGGTATAGCACTGTTCTCTTGACACTGTCGTATGCGGCCTTGAAGTCGACGAATAGGTGATGGGTTTCAATATTGAATTCTAATGTTTTCTTGAGAACCTGTCGTATTGAATGAATCTGGTCAATTGTTTATTTTTCTGGAGTGAATCCAACTTGATATTTACCAACTATGCCCACTGTGTAAACTTGCAACCTTTCGTAGAGAATATTTGCTAGTATTTTGTAAGTAGTTGTTAACAGGGTTATACCCCTATACTTGTCACACTGGAACTGGTCACCTTTTTTATGTAACGGGCATATTACGCCTTGAGACCATTCACAAGGCATGGTCTCATTATGCCAAACAAGAAGTAAAAGCTTATGCAGTTTCTGTAGTAGGGCATCGCCACCATTCTTGTAGAGGTCACTGCAAATTTGATCAACTCCTGGTGATTGATTATTTTTAAGCTTTTTAATGGCTTGGGCAACGTTTTCGATGGTAGGTGGTCTTTCGTTTGGGTTGAAAGGATTCTAATCATTTCGATTTGCTAGGGTGTTATCTGCTTCTTCGATATGATGGCCATTAAATTTTGCATCGAAAAATTCAACCCATCTGTTTAGGATTGAGGCCGTTTCATTTAGGATGTTTCCTTCTACATCCTTACAGCTCCTTATTCTTGGCTTAAACTCTTTGCGCATTTTGTTTAGATTTCTGTAGAACTTTCGAGTTTTATTTTGATTTTTTAGCCATTCTGTGCTTTCCAACTGCTTTTGCTCAAATTGTCTTTTTTTTTTCTTCTATGTAATCGTTTTTCTTCTCTTCCTAGTGTTCGGTATTCTTCCTTTGCTCTTCTAGTGCATCCAGCTTGGTTTTTCTTTAGGTATGCCCTGTTTTTGTTATCTGTTGCTTCTTGGCTCATATAAAGGGAATACTAAATGAACATAAAGGAAAACAAAAATGGCTTTGGAATGAACATATGAAAAAGATGGAGGGGCAAGAATATTGCTAAGAACTTGAAAAGGTTGATCAAAGAGAAGGAGAAAATTAATTGGACATCTTAGATGACAGTAAAACATTAAAAAATTAAAATCAATAGTAAGAAAACGAGACATTACTGAAGAAGACATATGTGAGAAGAAATAATGACGATTGGGATGTGATAAATGACAAACATACTATGCTATGTAAAGTTATGGATATAGATCTTTTCTAATGTGACCGTTTATGCCTCATGAGTAGACTTCGGCAAATATGCAAATAAAAATGTAGAAAATATGCGCATAAATATGCACGTGTTTATCCGAAAATATGCAAATATTTTACAAAATATGCATACAAATAAATAAAAAAATCGTAAAATAGTAACAATTTTATTTAAAAAAAAAGTGTACATAACTAAATATTTCCTACTATTCATTAAGATTTACATTTATTTTAAGTAACTACATCATTTTTAAGTATGAATAAACTTATTTAGAATTATGGTAACAATAAATGACCAAGTGGGGTTCAAAATTTTCTAACAAAAACTTGTGGCTTCTGTCTGAGTACATATATTTATATATGGAAAAACTTTGTTCAACATCAACTGATGTAACGGGAGCATTTTTCAAACTAACCAAAACATTTGGTTCTAAATTAATTGTTTCCGAAATATTTCCAGCTAGAACACTGACTACTTCAGAAAGAATATGGTAACCTTTATTTTTTTCCATAGGAGCTTCAAATTTTTTTAAAATATCTTTTCCAATATTACCTTCTAACTGAGTAATTGTTTTTTGAACAAAACTAAAATTTGATTTTCTAATGAAAGTTCTTGTTGAAGCAAGTTACTCTGAAAAGTTTGCTTAGAATCCAAAAGAGATTGGGAACTTTCATCTGTTAACGTATCAATTATGTTCTTTATTTTAACAAAATGATCTGCATAAAAATTAGCTGCTTCTAACCATGTTCCCCATCGCGGTAAAATAGGTTGTGGTGGAAGAGGAATGTTAGGTAGCATTTTTTTATAAAGTTGAATTCTTATAGGAGATTTAAGAAATACTTTTTTGACACTGGATATCATGGTATTTACAAGAGGAAACTTTTTTCGTATTTCCTTTGCAACTCTGTTTAATCCATGCGCTACACAAGTAACATGTATTAAATCTGGGCAAAATATTTTTAAATTTTGTCCTGCTTTCACTATATAAGGAGCAGCATCCGATAAAATAAGCAGTAATTTATTAGAAGGAATAGTTGAAAAAGTTGCTAATGTTTCTTGTATAAAACGCGAAATTGTTAAAGCATTTGTTTTCTCAAGTTGCTGGCATGAAATAAGATAAGATTTTGGTAAGGTATCTTTCTTAAGAACACCAATCAATAAATGAGCAATATACTTTCCTGGGGAATCAGTGGTTTCGTCTACAGATATGTAAAAATAATTATCTGCAATTTCTTCCTTAATATTAATTAACACCGACGAGTATAGCCCGTTCACATTATTTCTTCTTAGAGACCGATCACTTGGAACATTAAGTTTGCAATATTTTTTTAGAAACGAACTAAAATTTACATTTGCTAATTTTGAAAGCGGTATGTTTGCAGACACTAATGCGCGACACAAGTCTTCATTAAAAGTTTCTTGCTCATCTAATTTTTTTGAAGTAGATTGGAAACAGTTAGCCATTGAAGTTTGATGTTTTCCTCCTATTTTTTCTTTTTTTGCAATGTATGAAGCAGTTCTCACATGTTGGTCTATCTGAAATTTCTTCTCACATGCTATCTATAAATAAAAATAAAAACCTTTATTTTAACCCAACCTTTAAAATATAAAAATATACAAGGTGTTTTTGGTTAATCAAATAACTGGTTTGGAAAAAAAACACTCGCTAAGTGTTTTAAATGCAGTATTAATCCACAAATTCGTTTTTGTTACTAACCATTAGTACATCATATAACTTATTTTAAAATTCAACAAAAGTTTTTTTTTGTTAATTCAATTACAATAAAAATAATTGTGTTTTAGAATAGCTGACTTCATAAAAAAAAGTAAAGATGAAAAATTTTTCTAAATACACACCATTGTATTGTACCATGGACAATTTTTTCTCACTAAAGGAAGCTATTTTTCATTTAAAAACAACCTACGAGTACTAAATTTCAAGTAAATACGTTTATTGGTTTTAAAGTTATTGTTGTTATTAACTAAAAGAATTTAAGTTTTTTTTTAATTTTAACACCCTGTATCTCGAAAGGTAAATAAGTTTGACCCCTCTTTAACTATATCGTTTTGTTCAATTTTTCGAGAAGTATCTACAGTCAAACGTTGTAAGTGTCATTTGGAAATACCCTGTATGTATGAAATATTAGATATTTAATAGAAAATATTAGATACTTACAATTTTGCCACAGACTGAACAGTAGATTTTTCTCATATCCATAGACAGCTCTTTATAAGGTTTAATCCAAGTTAAAGCACTGGTTGTTTTAGGCATTATAAAATCACAATCTTCCTTTTTGTTACGCACAACGAGTGTTTACGCTTTGAATATCAAAACAAAAATGATTTACAAATCTGAGCATCAAATTAGAAATGTTTAGGTACCTAATTCAATATACTGGGAGATTTTGGAAAATCCCTTAATTAGGAACAAAACTATTAGCCGTTTACCTGCTGCTAAGATACAATAAATTGTAGATAGATTTGGGGATTAGATCATAAAATTCAAATGAGCGAACCCTTAGCGATTATCCAATAACTGTATGTCTCAGTGACCGAGACTTTCTAAGAATGTTGAGGGCTACTTAAATGGATCTTCTTTGAAATTGTAAATGTTTTGTACCTGTAGAGATTACGTACTTAGATCATTTCTTGATTAAAATGACTACAGAATTTTATACAAGAATTGAAATAAATTGGTATGTTTAAAAATTTTTAAATACAGTATAAAAATCTGAACTTTTATGCACTTTATGCAAACTTTTATACAAATATGCCAAAATATGAAATATTTTCATAAAATATGCACAATATGCAAAATATGCAATATGCATATTTGCCGAAGTCTACTCATGAGACTTAAAAAATGGCAAAAAACCAGTTACTTTTATGATATTATTAAAGTATACTAGATAATCAGCTTTTAAAACGTATTGAAATATTATAATTGTTTAATTTGTTTATGTGTAGAATACTTTGCTTAGTTATTATACACTTTAATTGGTGAGAAATTGTTTTTAATAAATAAATTTTGGACGACTGTTACAGAAAAAAATTGTACAATCTTTTTGTGAATGCTGTGATTGCTGTTATTTCAGGTAGCACTCACGATATTAAAATGTTTAATAGTATCTTTTATGCTTTGATCAAAATTTGTTTTATTTGTTAACTAAATGTTCCTATTTCTGTTGGTATATCTGGTATCTTTAAGGATAACTGTTAATGTATAAAAGAAGGAGTTTGGTAATAAACATACAATTTAAAAAATTATAAATCTATTCAACAATCAGATTTAACAATAAAAATATTAACAAGGCAACAATAACAAATGACTAAGATGAAATGAAGTAAGTAAGATGAAAGAGATGAAATTGTATCAGTCTTGCGTCTTCCACTTAGTGTTTGCTATGGTGGTATACAACTTTGTAAACTGGTACCTTGACGGGAACTGGTTTGGGGATTCTGATGGGAATGTGTTTTTCCACTGGAACTGGTACTGGTTTCTCAACGTGGTATGGGATTTCCTTCTCGACCTTGTAAGGTACTGGTTTCTCGACGGGAATGGTGATGGTTTTGATGACGGGAACGGCAACAGGTTGGGGAACTTTAATGTGAACGGGGTAGGGTTGTGGTACGGGTACTGCTACTGGTTTTGGAACTGGAACTGGAATAGTGTGGGGAATTGGAACTGCTTCGTGTTTGTAGACAGGAATTGGCACGTGCTTGGTTATTTCCACAGTGTGGGAAAGATCGTGGCCACCATGATCTCCACCATAGCCTTCATGACCTCCGTAACTGCCTGCGTAACCGGCATTTACGGTTGCGAGAGCCACTAAGAATGATACACACAACTGAAAGAAAAAAAAAATCAGTTAATGGTTGTTGAATAATATTACAAGTATAATAAAATAGTGAAAAAAAGATAGATGTGGTGCAAAAGTTTTTGATATAATGAGTATTATAACACATCAACCAAAACGTATTTAAAGCTATATTATGTTACTGATATGATCATTTTAACTGCGTTAATAAACTGCGACGAGAACAAATTGATGTTTTTAACTGGACAAATGTTTTTAACGGAGAAAAATATAGATATATGCGCACTCCAGGAGACCAAGAAAATAGGAAAGGGTCAAATTATGCTAGATAATTACTTGTTGATTTACAGCGGCGTGTCAAAAGAAACCAGAGCTAAAGAAGGAGTAGCCCTACTTTTACACAAGAAATTCATTGACCAAATAGAGGATTGTAAATACATTTCACAAAGAACAGTTTAGGTAAAACTCAAACTAAATGATAAGTCTCTACACATAATAGCAATTTATGCTCCAGAGAACAACAGAGACGCAAAAACAAGAGAAAGCTTCTTCGAACACCTCCAAAACACCATAAATGAGGTCCCTAAAAACGAATTTATGATTGTTATGGACGACTTTAATGCCCGTGTTGGCAACGACATCGTACCAGGGATAAAACAGCGTCATAACGAAGACATCAGAAATGAAAATGGAGATCTCCTGACGGACCTATGTAGCACGAATGAACTACGCATCAACAACACTTTTTTCCCTCATAAGGAACAATACAAATACACATTCGAAAATACAAGAGGTCAAAGGTCAATGATAGACTACATCCTGACGAATAGGGTAATACATCCCTCTCAAGTATTGGACATAAGAGCACTAACATCTGCAGAAATAGGAAACGACCATAAGCTTATACTTGGAAAAATCAGAATGACGACACGCATATGTAACAATAAAAACAAGAAAAATAAAAAAGAAGAATACACCACAAAGGTAAAAGTCGAGTGTTTGCAGAAAGAAGCAACAAAACTTCTATACCAAAAGAGAGTCAAAGATAAACTCGACAACGTGCACATCGTAGAAAGTGGTGGAATTGAAGAAAGCTGGGCGAAAATTAAAGCAAGCATCCTAAATTCAGCAAAAGAAGCTGTAGGAAAAAGGAAAATTCTTAAAAATAAATATTTCCAAAAGCGGAAAACTCCGTGGTTCTGCGCGGAAGTGAAAAGAAAGCTTACTTAAGATACATGTCCAACAAAACACCACAAGAATACAACAATTACAAAAAGATAAGAAACGAAACAATAACACTAGTAAGAAAAATTAAAAACGAACACTGGGAACGCTTCTCAAAAGAAATAGAATACGACTTTTATGGTCTACAAAAGGAAATATGGCGTTTCATAAGAGGCCAAAGATCAGAGATGAAAGACTTAATCGAACCGAAACATATAGATACCGACACATGGATTGAATACCTAAAGAAGCTTTATAATGATGAACAGCAAATGATGTTAGAACCAGAAACACCAGAAATCATTACAAACGAGGAAGTCGAGATAACCGTACAAAAAGTAAAACAAACTTTAGAAAAACTGAAGAACAGAAAAGCTGCAGGTAAAGATGGAATTCTAAATAAATTATTGAAATATGGTGGAGAAGCATTAACAGAACAGCTAACAGCACTAATTAACAAAATCATCAAACGTAATAAAATACCTGAAGAGTGGAAGAAAAGCGAGCTTATCCTACTACACAAAAAAGGAGATAAAAAACAACCTGAAAACTACAGAGGTGTCAACTTATTAAACACCACTTTGAAGCTTACAACCAAAATATTGCAAGGCCAAATAAATCAGAGAATTACCTTAGCGGATGAACAGCAGGGTTTTCGCACAGGAAGATCGTGCACAGATGCAGTATTCATCATAAAACAGATTACCGAAAAAGCACTAGAGTATAACAGACCAGCATTCATATGTCTAATAGACCTGAAGAAAGCGTTCGATAAAGTAAAGCTTAAAGATGTAATTCACCTTCTTTACGATAGAGAAATTCCACTAGATGTTATAAAAACAATAGAGAACATTTACCAGAACAACAATATGGAAGTCAGAATAGATGACCAGCTTACAGATCCAATAGATATGGGCAATGGAATAAGACAAGGAGACTCGCTTAGTCCAACGCTATTCAATCTAATCATGGATGAAATCATCAATACTATTAATAAAGGAAGAGGATACAAAATGGGGAACAAAGAAATCAGAATACTCTGCTATGCAGATGATGCGGCCCTAATTGCATCCAATGAAGACGATCTACAAAGACTAACCCATAGATTCAACACAAAGGCAAAGGACTTTAATATGGTGATCTCTACACAGAAAACTAAAACAATTGTAATCAGTAAAGAACCAATTAGATGTAAACTGGAAATTGACGGTATCAGCATTGAGCAAGTAATGGAGACAAATTACCTAGGAATTACACTGTCTAGCTACGGAGATGTGGAGAAGGAAGTGAAAAATCAAGTACAAAAGGCTAATAAAATAGCAGGTTGTCTTAATAACACGATATGGCGTAATCCCCACATTAATACCGACGTGAAATCAAGAATCTACAAAGCAACAATAAGACCAATAATGACATACACTTCAGAGACAAGACCGGATACCTCCAAAACTCAGCAACTACTAGAAACAGCGGAGATGCGTTTACTGAGGAGAATTACAGGAAACACACTGAGGGATCGAATGAGGAGTGAAGAGATCAGAAGAAAATGCAATATACCAGAAATAAATGAGTGGACACTGAACAGAAAAAAGGAATGGAACGAACACATAAACAGAACGGAAGAGACCCGATTAGTCAGAATAGCGAGGGACAAATCACCAAGAGGTAGAAGAAGTATCGGGCGACCACGCAAAAGATGGAGTGATAACCTCCAATAGAGGCATTAATCGACATTGAACAAGCATTTTGCTTATAAAAAAAAGAAGAAGAAGAAGAAGAAGAAGAACTGGACATTTTGTTTGATTTATTGAACTTACGTCGTAGGGAAAATTACAAAAAAATCTATTCGAATATATTTAATTTCATATCGTCTATTTAAATTATAGTACCATTAGCTAGATACAATTTTATACTATAATATATATTGGGTGTTAAATAAATATAATATTGATAATTTAACTAAAAGCCAAATTTTTAAATTGACGAATATTTTAATGATTGTATCTATTAACAGCACGCGCCTATTGGTGTTAAAATTGATGAAATGCTGAAAATATAATTGAAAATATTTAACTCTTTGAAGTCCACTAACACAACAATGTATGATTTAAAATACATTTTACATTGAGGTTGAAAGTAATTTGGAATAAAATGGCTGAACCGTGACAGGTCATTTCGATGTAATATTGCTCTGTTTTTAATGCGATTTGGAAGCACTTTTGAATTTGCTATTAATTTTTATTAGTGTCACATTCGTTTAAATGAGCATTTAAACGAATAGCCAGATTGTACTATCGAAAATTATAAATTATATTATGTACTGGTATGTTTTGCGATAGCTATTAAATGTCAATTTTTATATTATTATCGTTTGATTAGGGAAAATAACATAAACACAAAGTGAGCATAATCTAAAAAATTTCAATCTTAAAATATACCAAGTTAAAAAGGCATGTAATTAAATGAATAAATTGTATACTGAGCCCTTTAAAAACATCGCAATATTTGATTTAAGATATACCACAAAGCAACATAATTAATTATGCTTAATGCAGAAGCAAACAAAATACAAATTCAAAATTATCAAGCAAAAAGTAAAAATCGAAGATTTCTTTTTGTTCGAAACCAAAAGTTAAATTCTATCTGTGCCTTCTAGGATATACAAAGCAAGCAGAAGATGAATGAACCGACATGGGGAATCGAAAATTGCATTCCACATCATATCGATTCATCTAAGCAACAACCTTTCATACTGGCTTCTAATATTCGAAATATGAGTAAATTTAGACAATTAGACTTAGACGAGTTAAGACAGTTAAGAGTTAAATTCACGTGTAGTGCCTCTACAATTCATTTATACGTATTTTGTCCTTTCATAACTCAGCAGAGCGACTCAGTAAGAAGCCTTGGGTAGTAAGGAAGTCATTTATAACATTGAATGCAAACATGGCTTGTATTAAAGCTTTATTTTAATATTGATTTTTGCTAAAATTGGGTAGACCAGATACATTGTTATAAAGAAACTTTAAAAATGTCAAATTTTTATTTTTAGTTGAATTTTGAATCAAAAACATCTACTTCCGTAATCTAATGCAGGAAGAAATAAATGGAAAACTAACTCAGTGTGTACCAGTACAAAGTGGAGTCAAACAGGGTTACTAGTTAAGTTCACTTGTCTTCAAAGAAATCTAAATATGTTATGCAGATAAATCCGCATTAATCGCCGTGATAAAAGAAGAACTTCAAAGAATAACATACATCTTCAATATAATAGCCAAGAAATACAATATGATAATATTGGCAGAAAAAACAAATGTATGACATCTAAATACCTACTACGATGTAAAATTGAAAGTGATAGGAAAATAATAAAGCAAGAATCAAGGTTTAGATATCTGGGAATAGATATAACTAGTTACGGAGATGTTGAAAGAGAAGTACGACAAGACAGCTTAAAAGCAAGTAAAGCTGCAAGATCTCTTAATGACACAACCTGGAAGAACAAGCAACTAAGACAACACACAAAAACAAGAATCTATAAAACAGCAATTAGACCTACATTAACATTAACATGGCGGAGACAAGACCTGACGCATTTAAAACGAGATGACTCCAAAAAACAACAGAGATGAAAATACTTCGACGAATATCAGGGAAAAGTCTGTTGAAAAAGGAGAGAAATGAAAACATAAGAAGAGCTTGCAATATAGAAGACATAAATGGATGGGTCACAAAACGGAAACAAGAGTGAAACTAACACATTAATAGAATGGCAGGGAATAGGATAGTACAGATAGCACGAGATA